GTAAGAGTTCTGTCACATTATCATTAACGTTAATCCACAGCAGCTGTATGAATATTAGTATTTGTTATGCAATGTATTGAAATCCTGTTTTTGCACTGAAATATACCAATAAATTGCCCTCTTTGCTGGGGTTCCTCCTCTCTTAACACACGTCTGCACTGTAACCCCTGAATACTGTGTTTCTCTCATCTCTTCTAGGGGATGTATTTTGACAGGGATGATGTCGCTCTGCCGAAGTTCTCCACTTTTTTCCTGGAGCGCTCCATGAAAGAGAGGCAACAAGCAGAGACGCTGCTGGAATATCAAAACATGAGAGGAGGTCGAATTTTGCTTCAGATCATTGCTGTAAGTCCAGTTTCTTTTTTTAGGGGGCATTTTCAAGCCATCATTGTTATGATTGATATAGATATATTTATAGAAGTATAAACTTTCTGTTCTAGAAACCAAGTAGAGATGACTGGACAGGTGGTCTGGATGCACTGTCTTTTTCCCTTGACTACCAGAAGTCCCTAAACACATGTGTCCTTGATGTGCACCGCAGAGCTGGCATCCACACTGACCCTCATGTAAGTCTGGCACAGATGGACAAACAGACAAATATATAGACAGATAGAACTGCTATTTGTTCTCAAGCTATTGTTTAGCTGAGAGATGGTGAATATGAAACAAACGGCTACACTGTTGCAAATTAAAAATACTTTTTATAGCATTCTTTTACACTGTGTTTTGTCTTACTTCTTTTATAGCTGTGTGACTTCCTCGAGCAGCACTTCCTCACCGATAGCCACGACACCATCAAGAAGCTGGGCGATTACATCAGCAGTCTGACCCGCATCACTGCGTCTGAGACGCACGGTCCTTTGGGAGAATACCTCTTTGATAAACACACTCTGTAAAGGTCACACCAGTACAAGGAAATAAGCTCCATATTTCAAAAGATTCACAGATTCAACAGAATAACAGTGCCTCACACTGTGTTCTACTCCGTTAAGAAAACTACACAATATTGTCAGTTTACAACAAACTTACAAGAGGAGTTGTAAGGAAAATAACGGAAAATACCTCAATTTTACTTAAAAACCACACTGGAAAAAATAATCTCATTAATATGGTGCTAAAAATTACGATTTTCCTCAGCAGTTATAAGTCACTTGTTCATTTAGACTCGGTTGTGTCATGCATTCCAGTGTGTTTTAACCTTCATAAATGTTTGGTAGAAATGCATACTATTTTGAGTCAAATAGATGATTTAAGATTTGGAATATAATTGAAACATTCAATAAAGCCAGACTATGCAGACATAACATGTTTTTGTCTTCTTTCACACTCACTTTAACAACTATGTCCCATTGTTCACACAGACATCTGATCGGTCATGTAGTCTAAACACTTTCTGTCAAGTCTGCCCGTATAGAACACTGTAAAGACAACAGTGGGACTTTGCTGAGTCACTGTTGGGTGGGAGCTTAATGTTTAACATTAGGCTATCAGACAGCGTGTGGTTAAAATGACCATGCTGCCTCTCAGTAGCATGGTCATTTGTCTCGA